AAGAGAAGAAGTTTGGCTTTGGGGAGAATGATCCCCTTTTGGCCCAGGAGGAAGGATGTGGCGGCTTTGCAGCGTGGCGTTGCCCCACCAACAAAGCACAGCGTCCTCTCCCCTTCTCAAGACAAAGAACCAGCCACCCGTTTTGCTGATCTGTTCAATTGCTTCACAGGGATAACTTGAAAAGAGATCCAATTCTGAAAGCACTGATTTTGCCGGGGGGGGGCATCTTCAGGGTGGAACACCTGGGGTGATCTTGAATTCAGTGCCCCTGCATCTGCTGCCCTTCAGATATCTTGGACCGTAACCACTTTCCCCAGCGGGTGTTTGCTGTTCTCCTTGATTTGATCAATCTGGGCCTTTTCTGTCTGTCTCCTGGGTGCTTGGTGGAACATACCAAATTTAGAGGAAACAGCAACGAAGGATGACATCCCATCGAAGCAATAATGGGGGCATTCATCATAATGACCGGAAGGAGTCTGGTAGCATCTTTTCAGACGAAGAAATTTTATTAAAAAGCAGACACCTTGACTGATGCACTGTAACCCAACGTATCTGGGGAAGGCTGTATTATTAATACTAATTTTAATATAGTGCAATTAAAATGTTCTATTTCCTATACCATAATCGTATCAAAAACGTAATTTTTATTATTTAAACAGGCTTCTGATTTGGGAATCAAGAAGGGACAGAGAATAATAAAAGTTTTGGAAGCCCTTACGTTAACTCAGTCGTTCTCAGGACCCTGTGGATTCTTTGAGGGTTTTTTGATTCATGAATAGGGACACCATGGATTTAATAGTGGCCTGGGCCATATTCCCTTTGGCAACCAGCATGGCATGGGGGCATAGGGGCATAGCTGTACCTATATGTTTGGGGCTGGTTAGGCTCCATATTTTAATCAGAAGGAGAGATGGAAAAGCAGGAATATGGTCACCAACTTGAAAGAGGCTCTTGGTCTTTAACCCCTTCTCTTCTAGCAGGTAATCATAACACTATATTTGACTTTAATGTCTGCTACTAGAGCTTGCTCTTTTCCTCTGCCCTCCTCATCCCATTATCCTTTAATGTCGTATCAAGTTATACTTGCAGTCATGTGTGACCTTATTCTTACTGATTCTTTCTAAGTTATTCTGAGAGTCTTTTCAGCTGGAGAATGGGATGGAAATGCTTTAAATAACTTCTACACGCTTGTGAGGATAAAAGGCAGGGGAAGAAAAGAACTCAGTCTGCTGCTCTGGTCTCGGAGGAAGGGTGGGAGGTAACTGAAATAAATCCTGGAGAAATTTATTGGAAAACAAGTCTACTGAGGACTCTTTACCTTGGGGACCCAGTGCTACCTCAGGCTGGGGCCAGCTGCCCTTCAAGTCCCACTTGGGGAGATAATGGCAGAAAAGGTAGAACTCTGTCTACTTTTCTGAATATTCTCCAAACACGTAGCAACCTGCAAGGGACTTTGTAATCTGGGGCTTTGTGATACCTATAACAGATGGGACTTGGAAGTACTTCAGGTGGGAGACAGGAGAAATCCTAGTAAACTTTCTTGAAAAGCTGCTGGGGGTGGGGAGATAGACAGACAGACAGACAGACAGACAGATAATCACAAAGTGCTTGAAAACATACAAGCTCCGATTCCAGAAATGCAGTCTTTTCATTTCCATTGTATTAAAGCCGGAAAATTAAGAAAAATTAAGTAGTCCTCACTTAACAACCATTTGTTTAGTGACCATTGTATTAAAGCCGGAAAATTAAGAAAAATTAAGTAGTCCTCACTTAACAACCATTTGTTTAGTGACCATTGTATTAAAGCCGGAAAATTAAGAAAAATTAAGTAGTCCTCACTTAACAACCATTTGTTTAGTGACCATTGTATTAAAGCCGGAAAATTAAGAAAAATTAAGTAGTCCTCACTTAACAACCATTTGTTTAGTGACCATTGTATTAAAGCCGGAAAATTAAGAAAAATTAAGTAGTCCTCACTTAACAACCATTTGTTTAGTGACCGTTCAAAGTTACAACGGTGCTGAGCAAAGAGACTTACAACCAGTACTCGCACTTACAACCGTCG